CTGCGCTCCCAAGCGGTGCACTCTCCAGTGCGCCACCGGGCCGGCCCTTTTTTTTTTTTTTTTAAAAATGACCGGTAAGGGGATCTCAACCCTTGACTTGGTGTTGTCAGCACCACGCTCTCCGCAGTGCGCATCTGGCCATCCCTATATAGGGATCTGAACCTGTAGCCTTGGCATCATCAGCACCGCACTTTCCCGAGTGAGCCACGGGCCGGCCCTTGATATAAGTATATTGTATGCAATTCATGGAACATACTTATTCTAAAATTTGTGATTTATCCAAAATTCAAATTTAACTGAGTGTTTTATATTATTTGCTAAGTCTGACAACCGTATATAGGTGATAGTTGAAGTCATGACTGTGTATGAGATTGTTTAGAGAGCAAGAGTAGAAAGAAGAGAGTAGAAAGCTCAGAGTAGAAAGCTGGGAACTGGGTCGACTTAGTCTCCCAATCAGCAGCCTCAGCATTACTTGGGAACTTGTTAGAAATGTATATTCTCCTACTGATTCAGAAACTGTGGGGCTGGAGCCCAATGATCTGTGTTTAATAAGACCCCCAGGAACTTCTGATGCCACTGAATTGAGAACTGTTGACTTTAAGGGTGAATATAAGATCAATGAAGGATACTGTCTTACTGTCTTAGACATTTCAGGCTGCTATAACTAATTACCATATACTGGGTGGCTTATAAACAACAGAAATTTATTTCTCACTCTTCTGGAGGCTGGAAGTCTGAGGTCAGGGTGCCAGCATGGTCAGGTTCTGGTGAGGGCCCTCTTCTGGTTTGCACACTTCCCATGTCTTGTAGAAAGAGAGCTAGCTAGCTCTCTGGCCTCTTCTTATAAGGGCACTGATGCCATTCATTAAGGCTCCACCCTCATGACCTAATTATCTCCCAAAAGCTCCACCTCCAAATACTATCACTTCAGGGTCTATAGAATTTCACCATAGGAATTTTGGGGAGACACATGCATTCAGTCCATTGCAGATACTAAGAAGTAGTAAAGAATCGAAGTAACAGAACCAGAAGACCGTGGAATCACTGGCAGTGTCAGATGTATCTGAGAGGCCAAATATAATAGAAGCCTAAAAGTGTTCATTGGATTAGGCAATTGTGAGATGATTGGTTGTCTTAACACAGTTTCAATTGAAACAGTGGCCTGATTGATTGGGTTCAGGAGGGAATCAAAGTGAGGAAGTAGAGAAAGAATGAAGTACTTTTTCCCTAGTTTGGTTGTAAAGGAAAGGAGAAGAGAAGGCAGTAGCTCCTAAAGGAACAGATTCATTTTAAACTGAGGGGAAGAAACGAATATGGAGGTGGAGAGAGGCTGAAGATAAAGACAGGATGGAATGCCAAAAGAAAGGAGAGGGATCTATAACACAAGCACTATTTTAGCTGTGGCTAAGAAGAGGTTGCCTTTTCCTGTAACATAGGAAGACAGTTTGTTGATCTATTGTAGGTATGGTGGAGGGGGTTGTTGAGCAAGTTCTTAGTGGCTTCTTTTTACTTGGGGAAATTAAAATGTAAGTGAGCAGGAAATGTGTGGGGTCAGGACTTGTGAGTGATGAAAGTTAAGAACAGTTACTTTAAAAGAAACTGATCAGGGAAACATAACAGGAATATTAGAAACATATTATAGTTGAGTTGATAAAGTAAGTTTTTATTGAATCTTAAACATTCTTTTCGGTAATTTGAAGGAGGTGTATATAGTACTTTTAACTTCTTCTTTTTACAAGTGCCAATAAACGAATATTGTTATTTAAGTATAATGTTTAAGAACATCTACTTTGAATTGAATGGACTTGGATTCATTCACTCAACAAATATTTATTAAATGCCACAATTATGAAAATAATAATATTACCTAAGTATTCTTATACTAGCATTTTTGCGTGCTACTTTTACTTACTTTTTTTGCTTACTTGCTATTGCCTAAGTGTAAGACATGCTACATACTTTATCTGTATTAAATCGTTTCCATTCCATCCACCCCCCACCCCTTGTAGTGGCCCTATGGGTTAGGTAGTATTATCTTTATTTTACAGATAAGGAAATTGGAACTAAGAAAGATTAAATAACTTGTTGAAGAGCCAAGATTACATCTGTTCTGTGTGCTGTCAGAACCCGTAGTCTTCTCTGTTGTGTTATAATACTGGGCATTGAGTGTAGGGAGGTGAAAAAACAGATGTGGTCCCTGTCCATGGTGGACACAGTTCTTTCAGTCCAGTGGGGTGGGGGGAGAGGAGGGATATTAGGCATTAATCAAATTATTACCCTACTAAATATCAAATGATGTATTATGGTAAGTGCTATGAGAGAAAGGAGATGGAAAATACTACAACAGGAGAACTTAATTTCAATTGGGACCCCGGGTTTGAATTTATTATAGTAATTATGTTGTATTTATACCCTGTGAGGGTCGGTTTTGGAATAGAGAAACCTGTATTTGATTCCCATCTGTGCATTTAGTATCATGACCTTGGGCAAGTTACTAAACATCTCTGAGCTTCACTTTCCTCATTTGTAAAGAAAGTACAATAGTTCTTATCTTGCAGGCAGTACCTCTTTTGGTGCCATAATATACATCATAGAAAGTGGTGAATTTAATGCAGTGGTTCCTAGTCGTTGGCATTTAATAGTCTAAAGAAATTTCAAAAGTAACTTTGGAACTGACATATTTAGTCGCTTATTTTGCTAAGTGTAGGGAGATTAAAAATACAGCTACTGTTTATTATCACCATTGTTTCAGAAAAGTAAGGCCTTTTAAAAAAAAACTTTCTGTTTTGGAATATGTAAGCCTATTTAAACACCAAAAAAAAAATTAGGATGGTTGTGATCTCAGAATAAAGAAGAGTCCTTTTCAAGATAATTATATATCCCGATCTAACCATTGCACATTGTACACAACTGTTGAAAATCAGTGTTGTATCCCACATACATGTATAATAAATTATCTGAAGAAATAAAAAAGATAGTTTTATATATATATATATATTTAAAAATTGTTTCATGATTGCATTTTATTTTAAAACATTATAAATCTGATTTAGGCTGTGATGATTTTATGTATGATAAGCAGATTGCATTGAAACTCTTGTATCTTTTCTGCTGTTAGCAGATACGATAGCTTGTAAGTGTATTGGCTAAAATTACTAATTTAAATCCAGACTGTAAATCATTCAGATTTTATTTTATTTACTGTTTCCTTGTAAACACAGCCTAAAAAATGGGTAGTGCTCAGCATTGGAATAGCTATATATTACTCCCATATATGAAGATTACATTTGAAAAGTAGATGTAACTATTATAAGAGATTCTCCAATTCTGAAAGTTTGTCTTTGTAAAGATGAAATCTAGTCTAATAACTTATAAATTTTGACTTTTAAGGTATTTGTGAGGGAAATTATGATTAGAATGTATAAGAGATAAATATGATAGAATAATTTTTTGTCGAATTTCTAGTTTACTTAGATACACTGAATTCGTTTCTCTCTCTACTTTTTTTTTTTTTTAAAGGAGTATGGATGTGCCCAACAGCCAAAAACTCAAGAAAGTGAACTGAAAATTAGTGCTGTGTTTTCAGTTAGTGACAGTCCTCTTGGTAAGAAATAGAACTTCATAAATTAATTACAATTAATATTTGTTTATTCTGACTAGTAGAATTGAGGTAAAGTACTTCCTTTTGTAAGTTTTTCTCTTCCTTTAGAGCAGTGTTTTTCAAACTGTGGGTAGCTGGTCTTCACCAGCATTTTAAAAAATGAGATAAAATAAGATTATATCAGGCTGGCCAGTTAGTTCAGTTGGTTAGAGCACAGCCTTGTAACACCTAGGTCAAGATTTCTGATCCCTATACTGGCCAGCCACCAAAAAAAAAAAGGTTGTATAAGAGCATGATGGGCCGAGCCCGTTGCGCACTAGGGAGAGTGCGGTGCTGGGAGCACAGCGACGCTCCCGCCGCGGGTTCGGATCCTATATAGGAATGGCCGGTGTGCTCACTGGCTGAGCGCGGTGTGGGTGACACCACACCAAGGGTTGCGATCCCCTTACCGGTCATGAAAAAGATTATTATTTCATGAAACTTCTGTCTCAGTTATCAAATTTTATACCCACATACAAATGTATGTATGTGAGAACCAGGTTATAATGTAAAATGTAGTTCTTACTGTGGGTTATGATTAAAAAAAGTTTGAAACTCCCCTGCTTTGGAGTGCTTATTGCTTCATTTGCGTTGGATTTCAAGACGGAAGGAATTTGTCCTAAAAAAGAGAGACTGTATATGCATTAGTGTTGATACTGAAACTTTTTTTTTCTTATTTTGTTTTGATAGCCCAACAGTTGACTCCAGGCTTTCAGCTTTCTCTCGCACCATCTCGTCCAAATATATGGGTTCCTTCAGTTCCAGCTGTAGCAATTCAAGTTTTTTGTTCTGGGTGTAAAAAAATGCTTTATAAGGGGCAAACTGCATATCATAAGACAGGATCTACTCAGCTCTTCTGTTCCACACGATGCATCACTGGATATTCTTCACCTGTCTGCCTACCACCTCCTCCCAAGAAAACCTGCACAAACTGCTCAAAGTATAAAATTCTTTATTTTGTTTATTTATTGTTTTGGTGGCTGGCCTGTACGGGGATCCGAACACCTGACCTTGGTGTTCTAACACTGTGCTCTAACCAACTGAGCTAAGCAGCCAGCCCTTCGAAGTATAAAATTCTTAATGGCATCCCTTTTTACTTTACTTCTTTTTAGTATGTATACAATTTAGTTCAAAATGCTATTGCTACTTTGAATTTCTTTAGTTTAGTACTTTTCTATGGAAATATGTTTTTGGCTAATGGAAGAATTTGCGGATCTAAAGTTTTACAACATTAAATAAGTGACCTGGTGTTACAAGTATTACCTAAACCAGTTTTCTATCTTTCAGTTTAAATTTTACTATGGAAAGAAATAACAAACCATTTGTGGGAATTGTAGGACCACTCATATATCCTGTAACTATAGAAAACAACCATTCAAAATTGTTTAACAGTTATCTTGAAAGTTATTGAAATATAGAATAAGATAATAGCACTCTTTTAATAGTATATGAAAGTTATTTAATTCTTTAGAAGGTAAAAACTCTAAATGGTCACAAAAATATGTGTTTATTTCTGATATCCTGGTAAGCTTTTGTTTGGGTCATTGTTGCTCTATAATAATGTAAATAATAATAAAAATATTACTTTTAAGTAATTTAAAAAGTAAAATAATACTTTTAAAAGTAAAATATTTTTAAAAGTAAGATATTACTTTTAAGGAAAGGAGGGGGAACTTTTTAAATGTTTTACTTAAATACTGAAATTTAGTTTTGTTGTAAAATGCCCTTCTAAAATCTTTAACACTTTTATGTCATTCTTATAAAACTGATCTGAACGAGTAAATCTAGTTTTCTGTTTTTTAGATATTCTGCTTCAGCATATCAAATATCAAAATAAAATGAATTAAATTTTAAAGAACATAGTGCAACTTATACATCCAAATGTATATTGTTTTCTTAAAAGTAGTCACCCTTGTCAGTGACTTTTTACCACAGTGCTGCTCTTTTTTTTTTTTTTTTTTTTTAAAGATGACCGGTAAGGGGATCTTAACCCTTGACTTGATGTTGTCAACACCACACTCTCCCAAGTGAGCCCTGGGCTGGCCCTCACAGTGCTGCTCTTGATTGAAATTTTTTTTGATCCCTTGATTTGTCATTGCCTTCAGAGCCTATGAAACATTCCTTTACGCTAGGTTAGGTGACAAGTGTATCTTTTCAGCATGGATTTTATTTTTACAAATTGCCAAAAGCTACTTAATACCTTATCAGGTCAATGTAATAGAGATTAAACTGAGTCATACTGTTAAACATGAGATTTGACTATAAAATTAGAAAATTGTTCTTTGGGTTCTTATAAATTAAAAGAAAAATTAGAAAAAATGTTTTGAGCCATGTTACTGTTGAGAGAGGTCTGGTTTTTCTAAGATAACTAAGTGTTAAAGTATAACACTCATTTGGATGCATAAGGTTTAGTGTTTATTTATGTACACAAATTTTCATTATAAAGTCATTCTCATTGGTTTACTTATATATACATTATGCCACTGGCAGATTCATCTTATTAAATAAAATTTTTTATTGCTTTGTTTTTAGTAGAAAAATCACTTTTCAAAATCAATACTTCATCTGTGTTTAAGCATAATCACTTGGTTTCTAAGATTTGTTGTCATATTTTTAAGGTTAAATGAATTTTAGAAAATTCAGATAATTTTTGTTGTTGTAGTTATTCTTTCATACATTACTGTGGAACAGTTCTCTATAATACAGGTACAGGATGGGAGGCAGGACAGGGGAGTGATTAACTCCATGGACTCTAGAATCAGACTGCCTGGATTTATATTCCGGCTTCACTGTTTATTAGCAGTACTACTTTTTAAAAAAAAATTTAATTAATTTATTATTAATATTATTTTTTACATTCTAAGATGTTGTGGAGAGCAGTACAACTTTGATAAGCTATTTAACCTCTGATTCAGTCTCCTCATCTGTAAAATGGAAATTATACCAATACTTACCTCATAGTGCTTTTGCGATATTTAAGTTGGATAAACTGAGTAAAGAGAACAGTGCCTGGCACATAGTAATTACTCCATACACTTATTGTAGTATGTGATATTATTGCCATTATTATTCTTTACTTTGTGGCTTTCCCTAGTGTTTCTAATTAATGACTGTTTTCTTCAGTTTTTATACTAGTCCGAAGATTGGCAATACTAAGCCTCTGTTTTACCAAGATATTGCTATCAGTGCTTATTGTAATAATTAGTTCTTACAAAATGGCTCTGTGAATCTCACAGAACTACCTAATTATTTGTGTTCTTCCTGTCTCATGCTTGTAAAGTCTTAACAGTACTTTTGTCATCTGTTTCTTTGATCTTTTCAGTTATAGCCAAGTTTTATATATCATGCTAATTTTTAATTTTAATCTTTGGTAGTTCATCTGTTTCTCAAAATCTTGCACTTTTAATTTTTAAAAATTTCATTTCTTGTCTCATTCATGTTTCTGCTGTTGGCAGCTGCTGGCTAGTAAGAGGACTGTGTCTCATGGTCTGGAGTTGTGGGATGACCACTGAATCTAGTCTCATTGGCTCCAGCAGATGAAACTTGGAGTTGGAAACCTTACTGTTTTTGTCATAAGCATCTGGCTGGCTATATTTTAAATTTAATTCTCCCTTGATACATCTGTGAATTAGGTATTATAAATTCCATTTTGTACATGAGGAAATTGAGACGGTAATTGCCTCATTCATTGTCACTCAGCTGATAAATAACAGAACTGATCGTCAAACCCAGGTTTTCAGATGCCTTATCTTGGGCCTTTTTCTACCATACAGTAGTTGCCGCTAGTAAATGTTATTTTAGCTCACAAAGAGGAAGAATTTATAATTGTGAAGAACATGTTTCATTTTGCCTTTGTTATTTATTTTTAGAGACATTTTAAATCCAAAGGATGTGATTACAACCCGATTTGAAAATTCCTCTCCTAGCAAGGATTTCTGCAGCCAGTCATGCTTGTCATCTTATGAGCTAAAGAAAAAACCAGTTGTTACCATATATACCAATAGTGTTTCGACTAAGTGCAGTATGTGTCAGAAGAATGCTGATGTAAGTTAGATTTTACTTTTATTGGGATTCTGCTCAAAGATCAGAGATTTTTAACTGGCTCTGCTTATTTTTTTTGTGTGTGTGTGTGTTTATTTCCTAGATTCGATTTGAAGTTAAATATCAAAATGTGGTACATGGTCTTTGCAGTGATGCCTGTTTTTCAAAATTTCACTCTACCAACAACCTCACCATGAACTGTTGTGAGAACTGTGGGAGCTATTGCTATAGTAGCTCTGGTCCTTGCCAATCCCAAAAGGTTTTTAGTTCAACAAGTGTCACGGCATACAAGCAGGTATGAATATCAGTCTGTTGCATGCAGTTAGGCTCACTCCTTCTGAGTTGGCTGCACGAGGATGAACTGTAAAATGAAAGATTGAGCTCCTCCTGTCAGTTCATCCTGGTGGTGTGTGATTTCCCTTCCAAAAAAGTGGGATAGATTCTGATACTGTAAGGAATGACTGTGGTAGTGAGATGATATAGGTGAACTAGGTCACTTTTTAAGGTTCTTAGCTCTTCGTGACTAAGAATTCATAAATGTAATTTCATGATTTGCTGTGAGTGTAAAATATTTTGTGATATAGTGATAGTGAAGAAAACTCCATATTGTAAATAAACTATGAGAAGAGTTAAAAGATGATAAAACCAGTGACTGTAAAGGAAGCATATCTTTTTGTTTTAAGATGTATTTTGGAATGAATTGTAATTGTTTTGGCCACATTGCCCTATTAGAATACTTTAATTTTACTTATTGTAATGAATAATGAATCTCATTACTAAATATGTCACTTTGTGTCAATTTAATTATTACTGAATTATTTGAGGTTTTTCAAAAGTTATTTTCTTAAAAAGTATGTAAATGATAATTAAAACTTTTTTTCAGTTAGTGTTATGGCCAACATCTGATGGGTGAAAGAAATTTGGCCACGAGAACTGGGTGATAGGAAAGGGAAAAGAGTTTATTTCTGGCAGCCAGGGCTACGCAGGCCAATCAAGGAGCGCAGCCCCGAGTTGAAACCTCTCGCAGCTTTTATTTTTAGCTAGGTGGGAATTTTTCGCACCTGACACAATCTAGCCAATGCAAGCAAGCCAGCGGTACATAAGCTAATTTTGCGGTTAGCCCTGTAGCCCTTCCCCATCCTGGATTCCCCATTTATTTTAGCAAGCGATTTGTACAGAAGCAGAATGCATATATTAAGGTCAGTAGGGGTTGGGGCGTCCCTTAACAATGCACCCATCACTTCCTGAATTTATTCTCCTTTCTTTGCTCCTTAACTGCCCGGCTTTGCCCATTCCTCTGCCTTCTTTCACCTCTCACACTCCACACGATACTTATTTTCTCTCTTAAAGCTTGTGAATTACAGACCTTTTACTCAGTTTTCTCTCTGATTCTGACCCTGTGCACTTCTGCTATTTTTTTTTTCACTATTCCTTCTTCTTCACCTCACTTTTCCGAGACATTGACATTTCATTAGTTCCTTGATGCTGCCTTCTTCCTGCTTTCTCTCTGCTTTTTTTCGGAGAGGCAGCATAGGCTGATTGGAAAGAGCATGGGACTAAACTAAAAACCGAGGTTTCAATCCTGATTTTGTCACTTATTTCTAACTCTGTGACTTTGGGCAAGCCACAACATCTCTCTGGACTTTTATGTCCCCACCTATAAAATGAAAGGCTTCTTAGTAATTAAAAATCCCTTCCTACTTTAAAACATATGTGATTTTGCCATTTCTCTGCAACTTCTCTTAGGCCCCTGTCAAGGCTTATTCCAAAAGAAACAACATTTAACAAAAGTTGCCAAATTTCCTTTGCTAAAATCCATATTGCATTTCAGTCAAACCTAGTATCCTATATATTACATTGGTGGTAGCAATAGCAAATTATAATAATAAATAAAAATTCTCTTCCAAATGGGCTACCTGCTTTTAAAAAAATCTTTCTGACTTACCATGTCTCCCAAATCCCTCCTGTTCCCACTCACTACACAGCCATTTCCTGGGTGTGGGTCTGTCTATGGCTGAACAAGCACCAGCACACAGAGAGGAGAACCAAAGAAAAGGATGGGTTTGTCTTCTGAGCACTTCCAGACCTCATGGAATAAATCCAGGAGGATAAGGACATGCACAGTTCTGTTTTACAGATTCTTTGGAGCAAAAATTTTTCTTGCCATCAGTTGTCATAGTAAGTCTCCATTTCAAGACCTGATATCTAAAAATATAAGATGCATCCCACTCATGTCAGCCTTCCTCAGTCAATAAGCAATTAAAAAAAAAAAAAAACAGTCTTAAATATGATCCTTCTCTTAATGATGGCTAACCCAAAATCCTTTGAATACCTAAGGGAACTGATTCTGGAATGTCCTGACTTAGATGCCTTTGTCTCAAGGCCTGTGAATTTCAGAGCTGGGCACTATCACTTCGTCAGTTCTCCCTGACGTGGTAATGACTATATGTAAGGAAGGAGGCATTGGGTCACTTTTCTTGAATTTGATCCTTGAAAAAAACATATATTCTGTGACCATCACTATGCTCAGTGTTCAAAAGAGCTGGACTGGAGATGAGATGAGGGAGGAAAGATCTGCCCTTGTCTAGGCTCGTCTGAACTCATGTAATCTGGGGTTTTTGAAAAAAAGAGAGAATAGCAGCTTGACTGCAGATTACTGCCCTTTCTGGTTGTGTAGAATAAAGCACAGGCCAGAATTTGTTGCATCAGCAAGACCTCCTAATGAAATGCAGAAGCAGCAGCAAAGAAATTTAAATTGGTGTTACCCCTCCCCCCATACAATTCTCACTCCCGTTCTCAACAAGATCCTCTTAGCACTTGAGACAAAAATATATAAAATAACACTTTCTTTTTTTTTGCATTTTCCCTGTCATTTTTGGTAATGTGTAGTAGCAGTCAACTGAGTATCAGGTGATCCCATGATTTGGAAGAAAGTTGATTGCTCTACTTACCTAGGTGATGGAAACATTTTGCATTTTCAATCCAGACCTGATTTTTGATGATTTTGTACCAACAACATTGCTTCTGAGTTCAAAGAAATTACAATTTGTCTATGAGATGATTGTTAAAATACGTAAACTTTAGGTTCATTCCCAGAATAGTTAAATGTAAAATCTCTTGATATTGATGTTACAAATCACATTATTGCTATTAGGATTCCAAATGAGTCCAGCATTAGAAGTTTAAATCAGTGTTTTGTTTTTGCCATGTGCACACAGACCTTCATCAGGAGTAAGGATCCAGGAATGAGTTATGCATACATTTGTAGTTATGACAGGGTTGGCAGTTTTGTTCTACTTTACTGCAATGACAGATAAAAGGTTGTTACAAATTAGCATTGCGGAAAAAGCATTGCCATAACAGATGGCAAGATTGAGAGCATTTTTTTGTTTTTGTTGGCTGTTAAACTATGGAATTTAAACGTAAAGAGCTCTGTTAGATGGAAGAGAAGATTCTCGCTCCGTATAAGGGGAATGGTGGCAGAATGACAGGTTAGGTAAGTCTTTCATGGGACTCCTTGCTATGATTCAGGTCTGAAAGCAAACCACGTATCTCACTAGGCAGCTCTAAGAGTAAACTAACTCTGGGATGGCCCTGGGGAGAATGAGCAA